AAAAGCTCGAACCCATTTTGCTTGAACCGAGCCCGAACTTCGAATTTTGGCTCTTGGCTCGACTCGTTGCCACCCCTATTGTCGGCAATGAATTTTTTTCCTTATTTTTTTTTTTGGTATTTACGCGTGTAGATGACTTTGATTTCCATTTATTTTTATTTTTTGAGTTTTTTATTTAATACGACTCTCTCTACCAACTGCACTAGGCATTGCCTGCGACGTATACATTAAAATTCGTTAGGTCCCACCCTTAGGCATGAGAGCTACTAAATCTCCACATAACTTGTAGAAATTATCAAAATGTTGACTAAATTATTAGAATAACGTTCTAATCATTTAAAATATCATTGACATTATTTTTTAATTATAATATAAACATTTAAGATATTACATTTTGTTTGTCATTTTATTGTTAGATTTTAAATTAATAGATTTATTAGCTCCATAAAACTCACATGAATAAAAAAAATAAAATTGAATGCATATGATTCGGGAACTCAACTTATAAAGTTAGCCCAAGGTCCCAAAAATCTTAGGTACGACTTTCTTCATGGAGTGTGTCGTCTTGCATAATTGGTGGGCCCCGTCCTCCGATGCCACACCTCGTTTCACATAGTGATTCGAGCCATCAATCTACTACTTGCCCTTTCTCGGGGGAAAAAGCCGTTCTACTAGAATTAATTTGACACTTTGATTAACATCCTCTCACATTTGTGGTGGGACGTATGCGGGACCCATATGAAATAAAAAAAGAAAAATCCCCCTCCCCCCTATAGTGAGGGGCCTGTCACACCCTCTCTGGCAGTCCAGCATTATTGGTTCTCAGAAGACGAAATAAATTAGAAACAACGAAGTGATTAAAATAAGATATCACGTTATTGTATCATTCTCATCATTTTGGAGAAGATTTGTCCTTAGATCTTGTGCTGTAATCTCATCTGATACCTCGTAATCGCGATACTTCATTCCATAAGGATTTCATTATCGATTTTGCATATATAAACATATTTGATAGTGGTAATATATTTGTGACTAGGTTTTCCTTTTCAATTACAATGTCAGAAATTTGTGCACCGTTGTAATATTCACCTAAAATTAATATCTTTGTTGCCTGAATCCTCTAAAATTAACTTCATGTTAGTTATTGCGCCATCCACAACGTTGCCGTGGCTA